GTATGGTGGTCTCGGCTCTTGAGCACATGAGGTGCGCTTATCGTCCCTTTTGCGGATCAACAGTCACAGTTGTCGAGAAAATGTATTAGACATATGGTTACGTATTTTATGAGATTAGAAGGTATGCCAGTCTGACGAATCGGATATTCGATTTTCACCTGTGACGGTTGTCATGAAGTTGGTGTTGAGCATTTGCATTTGCATTTTATTGCATTTGAGAACTTCCTGTTTGCTGAATCAACTACTACGAATTTTGCCGCGGATCGTGTTGGTCATATATGCGAGTGAACTCATATACCAGCGACCGTCAACAGTAACTCGTTCGATTCCTCCTTTATGCTGCATCATGACGCCAGTAGCGCCGCGTTGCACATGACGGGACTGTAGATCATCGTATTCCATCCCTAGTTTACATTTGGAGGACTACTTCATTTGAAATCAGTAGACTTCCTCTGGAAAGGCCTTGAAGTGGGAGCTTCCATTCAAACGTTCATTAGAAAGATTCTACATTGAAGAACTTGGGATGGCTTAGCATAGATTATACATCGAGCGGCTCATTCGAGCCAATCATCAGCTGGCAATGGCAATGTCATTGCCATTCCATGTTGGATCAGAGTCCCTGACTATCTCGCCTGGCCTGGGTCCGTGATAGACCGCCCACCTAAGGTAGTCACGCTGAAGAATCTAGTGTAAATTTCACACCGAAAAATAATTATTCTTTGAGAGGTCTGGCTAAATTGAGATACAATGTATGTTCGCGGCGACCCAAGGTGTCCTCGTGCGAATGCACATCTCTGTGCAGCACGTTGGGGGAGCAACGAGGTCGTGACCTGGGTACTGGCACCGCAACGTTGGTCCCCGCCGTGTTGTGAGTGCGATGATGTGTTGTTCCCAGGGCTCGGTCCCCCCCGGGATTCTCCGCCCAGTACTTCTCCGCCCAGTTTTTAACATGAAGCGAGATATTTCCTTTGTTCGAGGCATACTGGGCAAGAATAGCTAAGCACTCCTTCATTCAAATCATCGTGAGGCTGTATGAGATGAATGGAATGTCTCTAACATCGAAAATGAACACTCAGCAAACGTTTCCTGAAAAATTTTACTCCCGGGAAATTTTTGAAACTCTCGCGGAAGTATTTCGCGAAAGTTTCCGTCGGGAGTTTCTCAGACACCCTGCTGGTGACAGAGCGATATTTCGCTGGCAGCAATTTCGGTGATGTAGCGTATTACCGTCAATACTTTACCACCTCATCCATCATTTTCCACACTGCAAACGCGATCTATATGAGCTGAGCAAAGCCTATATAAATATCCTGATTATTGGACATCATGCTCAATCATAGTGTAACTCATAACGATCGAGCCATATATTGAACTCGGGCCATTTACAGCACATCAACACGAGCTTCATTGTCCCGGTAAGTAGAGCGTGTGCGACCAAACGTATCAAATATAAAATTCCTCCCCTCAGAGCGTGAGTTCGAAGATATCACAGAGCGCCAGTGATTTGCTGTATGAGTCATACAGTATGACTCATCGGCAAAGACCTTGGAACCCAATTCATCGAGTTAACCTTCCTTCTCCTGTGAAGCTCCAGCAGCTTAGCTGGCAGCTAACAGCTGCTCTTAAGATATTTTAGCGCGTGCCATATTCACGCTGCAACACGTGAATTCGAACATTTCAAGACCAACCTCTGGTCACAGAATTTCAGTTTCAATCATACTTGACAGGCCACCCGTTAGCGTAGAGTTCTATGTGTACACGAATAACCAGCCAATTTCCACGATTTGTTTAATCTCAAATTCTTCGCACCGCTCGATGCGATTCCATCATCTTCTATTCCCCCCGCCAAAGAGTTGAATTCGTTCAGGTTGATCCTTGGTAATGGTTTCGCTTGTGACGACAACAGCGAAGATGGCCTAGGGGACTCGGAAAACTGTCAGGATAACTTTCCGCAGCGATGAGCAACAGAAAGAGTAATCTCGAAATCGCTCCCAGATTCGCAACTGATGCGGAAGCATCTTTTGTTGACTCGATTGACATCCATTAATCGTATTTTCGGTAACGGTCAATCACCTCAATGATTGAAGCTCAATCCATGTCCTCTTGTTGTTCCTTTTACCACTTGGCTGCAGTATGGCCACATAAATGCAAATCAATAAATTGACTGATGACTCAAGAATCGTTGAATTCGATGCTGCAAGGTTCGCGTCGTAAGTTAATCAGTCGATTCTGACACCCACGTGAGTCTCACGGATTGCGTGGAGTATCCGCAGTGTGGATTCCGCACAAAGCCTCCCAAAATGTATATCCACAACTTTTCGCGAAGCACGGATATTACTGGCAGTCTAAGAAGCGCGACTGGTCCAAAATAGGAAACCGCGAGTTCTGAAGTTATCCCTCGATTGTATGTCGTGTGTTTGTATGAACCCACACGTCCTCGGGCGCACAAAATTCAGTCCGCACAAACACTTTGTGGGGAACCTTCGCGCGCACATTCCTTAGGACACACTTTTGACACGTCATAATCCCGAGGAGATAGTTCAGTATACTGTAGATTCTACGCCATCATGTGACGATCAAGGTTTCACTTTTTTCCTCACTACGAAGTTATGAATAATACTCCTGGGGCAAGGCAGGACTGCGAGGTAGATTCCCAGACAACGAAGACCTCCAAGGCTCCAAGAACTCCCAACATCATCCTCATGCTGGTGGCAATGATGACTCTTGTTCTCGCGGATGCCTTCATGGTTGACGATATCACTGGCAAGACGATCCAGAGCCCCGAGCCACGTTCTCTTCGTATGCAGGTGGTGAAGGAGGTTCCCGACCATTGCTTGAGTCATAACGATGGGTGGACCTATTGCGCGTTCATCCTCGAGGATTTTAATCAAGTCAATGGCGGCACACGGCTCGTCTCTAGTAAGGGCGACTGGAAAACGCTCGACCTCGAGCTTGGAGTGCTTCTCGCGTCGGACTCGAGCCCGACCGATGTGGGTATTTATGTCTCTGGTGTGAATATCTGGAAATTTGATATTTTCTGTGGCATCTCAGTTGAAGTGCAGTTAAGTGTACCAACTATCTCGAAGAACGGTGGGTATGATGCTTACTCCTGGAAGGTAATCGACTTCCCAGTGTCCCTGCAAACCTGGGTAACTGTCCCTCACTTTGGTACGGTGCAAGCAGAGAAGCAGGGCCAAGGCCATGCGCATGTGAATTTGAACACATCCATGAACAGTAGGCATGAGCTTTCGGTGGACATCCAGGCGGACCACACCAGCACTCCACTAAACTCGAGCATAGAGGTTATTGTCAAGAATATTTACGTTCCGGAGGATGAAGCATGGCACTACATAGCCTATGCCTCTCTGGGTTTCAATTTGCTCACAGATGATTTACAGATCTCCTACCAGAAAGACACCCTCCTCTCTCATATTCGAATCCCATTCAAATTTCCCCGTCGTTCCGGATAGTCAAGGACTATAACTACCACTAATAGTGATTCACTATTCTTTCTTTAGTATGGTAGTCTCGGCTCTTGAGCACATGAGGTGCGCTTATCGATCTTGTTGCTTTTCAACAGTCGCAGTTGTCGAGAAAATGTATAAGATATATGGTTACGTATTTTACGATATTAGAAGGTATGCCAGTCTGACGAACCGGACATTCGACTTTCACATGTGACGGTTGTCATGAAGTTGGTATTTCTGTAACATAAATTATTTTACATACCACGAGAAGTCTGACTTGATTCGTGATCCCCGGTTCATTCCGTCATTATCCATCCGATAAGGATAGTAAACCAGTGGAGATAGTGGTGTTGGGTTGCACAACAGTCTATCGGCGATTTCGTCGACACGCGGGGAGTGTGAGGTACAAATCCGAAACGGGAGAATCATATTGGCATTCGGAACTTTAAAATTCGGCTGAGGTCGATGGGAAATTCCCATTGAGAACTTGGAGGCTCTTCACAATCGCTACACAACATCCATCTTCTCGTCACCGAGCATCTTCCCTCAAGCGACCACATCAACCGAAGCTTTGAGCCTCAAATCGTTTTTTGACAAGTTTAAGAGGTCTTCCCATTGTCCAGACCTCACGGCTGTGGGCTTGACCTATACCAAATGGACTTTGGCCTCATCGTCTACGACTTTGGACTGAAACATTTCCATCCCGGAAATGGCATCCCCTGGAGATCGCAAATGCGTCATAATTGGCTCATACCATCCATATATAACTCAACCACGCTCTCATAAAGGGTCACCCTCGGAACCATTCACCCGCGCCATTATTTGATCCATGCTCAACCATCATAGACATTGATATCATCGTTTCGTAAGGGAACCTGTAGTAACCCGCGAGGGAGAGACATTCTGGGAAAAGCGAGGCTCTAAAACTCACACGATCAGTTGTAGTCGACACAACAGTTGTGTTCAGGTGCAGCGGACAATTACTGATCGCTGCACCTGAACGGGAAAGGTCTGACAAGGCGTTTATTATTCAACACACCGAATGCCGAATACTCCTTGGTTTTGACTATCTCAACCCCCCCCCCCCCCGTCGCTAATCATACCCCGAAATATCGGCTGAGTAAGGGAATACAGTCCTTCTACCTCTCGCCTCTCTAAACTTGAGGGGTTTCGCTGTCACTTGGTGAGAATCTGCTAATATTACGAAGACGTGACGTCTTAGATGTCATTAATTTGCAGATATTGAAAGACAAAAAATGAGTCGTGTGTGATCTCAGTGCCCTTTCGAGCACCTTTACCTCCAGCGTTATATCCTGTAAAGCCATGTGTTGCCACAGGCATGTATGTAATCCGACTTGGTAGCATCCAGTTGTTCGTGCTGATTAAAGGATAGTGTGTTCGCCAGTCATAAATTCTCAAACGTTGGCTCGACGCCGATGACGACTTGCCCAACTCGTCGTTGCGGGTTAAGTTCCAATGTCCGTTCTGTATCCTGACCCGAGAGGATGAGGCCGAAACAGTTAGATGTTTCTGGTACCCTGCATACAAGCATCACTGTGCAACACAGTCTGTGCTCCTTAATTCAGTGTTCTCACCCAGTATCATAAATCTGTCGTAGGACTTTCAGGTTTTTTCGCTTGTTAGTTGTCGGTGTTTGGCGAATAAGTGTTCTTCTTGATGCATAATAACTTGTGCAAACAATTTGCATTTGTTACTGCCGGTAACGAATGCGAATCGTTTGGATTGCATGCCAGTGACTCATTGGCCATTCCCCATACTTACACGGTGTAAGTTTGGGATGTAAGTTACACGCCTGGAAGGAACATTCCTTTGTTTTCACATTCTTTTGCATGCAGGTGGCAGCCACCTGGTGGCCCACGCTAGTTTGAATCGACGAGGTTTTGCAAGGTTATACGCCTATAGTATACGGTTATACGCCGTATATCCCACAGTTGATGCTAAAGCAGCCTCGGGCGACAATCCTGCGAACACATTGACCTTTTTTCAGACCTAACACGTAAGTGTGCACCAATTCGCGCAATACAGGCTGCATTATGCAGCAACCATCACTTCAGCCGGGACCGCAATAAGCTTGAATAGCGGAAATAACCCCCTGTCGCTCGTCCTGAGCGGCATGGCGTAGGCTTTAAAACCACATCCAGTCCTAGCGCGAAACTCTCCCTCGTCGTCACTCCTCTGGATCAGGGTGATCCAGTTAGCTTATGCGATATCGAGTTCACTAGGTAGGCAATGGCCGAGCCGACTCGTTGTTGTCGCTTTCATGCCATGAGGCTCATGGTGACTCATCCCGATAGGAATTTTCTTGATGGAACTGTTGCGAGACAGTATCTGCGCATTGACACCGACAGCCTGATAAATTAATAATTTAGATAAATTAATAATTAATTCAATTATTAATAAATTAATAATGTCAATACACGGATGATGTCAACACAAGACCACAAGCGGATGGTCGGAGGTAACGACTGAGGATCTGTGACGCTGAATGGGAGACGCCACTTGACATCCTACGAGTTTCACCATATCGATCAGAATGACGCGCGCTGCCTCCGTGACGTGCTCCCTTCGACGACCAGGGAGGGCGACAGCGTGGAGTGTGTGAGGTCTCTTGTATTCGGCATGAAAGTAAACTTGTGGTTGTACATGAAAGTTTCGAGGACTACAGAATTCTAAGAATTTGTTCTCCTAGCAGAGGACTGCCGTCAGAGTAGAGCAGTGAAATTCCCTTGTACTTACCTTAGCAAGCCGTTTAACGGAGTTTAGTAGACGTTACCTTGTTTGTGATTCGTAAGTTGTCGAGTTTTTTGGTGTTTACCTTGCTAGCCGTTTAGAAGGCGGAGTGTCCGAGACCGAAAGGGATTTTCAAAGTAGCTTCAACGCAGCAACGGGAAATCCATCGCTCATCGAGTTTTGCTTCTCACTTCGGTTAATATTCTCTTCAGTTTTCGCGCCCCGGAGGGTCGAAGTATTGTCGTTTCGACTACCCTTCCCCTCCGCGTTCAACATGACTGCTGCCCTCAATGTACCCTCAGAAGAAGAAGACTCGGTAACTCCTCGACTGCAACTATCCTTTCTAAAACCTCGACGAGACGCTACTACCATTGAAGAGTCTTCCCCATGCAGTACATGTTGCACTACTCCTCCAACATCACCTATGAGAGTAGTCAGTGATGCCGCCCTCACGGCCTTTGATACTTCCTACCAGCTCGGGTCTACCATAGCGGCAGGAGCGTACGGGCAGGTTTGTCGCTCAATATGTCGACAAACTGGAAGACCCGTCGCGTTGAAGATTATCGAGAAGCCCCCGTATGAGACGATCCCCCCTTGTATCTCGGATATGGCAGGGCACGGCCCAGAAGAGGCGGAAACTATGGAACTTATTGCGAATCTTGACATTGATGGTGTGCCCAAGATCCTCGACGTTTTTGAGGACTGTGATGCGACCTATATCGTATCCGAACTTGGTGGTTTAGATCTTTACGAGTGGCTCCGACGGCGATCTACAGTTCGGGAAGATGCCACTATTCTGTCTGTCATCATGCAATTATTGACGATTTTAGATTCTCTTCATGGTTGGGGTATTTCCCATAATGATATCAAGTTGGAGAACATTCTTCTCAACGACTCTGGTGACGTGCATTTAGTTGATTTCGGAAGCGCAGTTGTTTGCGCTTGCACCCACCACGCCGGTTTGAGGCGTCAGGTTTTACAGCGCGATCAGCATGATAATGATGATGATTGCTTTGTCGGAGAATGTTCCGACGCTGTGTTTTCTGAACGTTGTGAAGATGATTTTCTTGCTTGCGCTGTCGTGATGTACCAACTTTTCACTGGCAGTCCGCTTGCGTCTATTGAGAGACGCGAGTCGTCGACGCCTAAGAAGAAGGCGGCATTAAGAAGAGTCTCGAAAGGAGAACTCCTTTCTGCTGAGGAGGTTCGAGGCTTGTTCGAGCAAATCGATTAAGAAGTATCCTTAGGTTGAGCGTGCAAGATACAAACTAGGTCCGTTTATGACTAACATTTCCGTTTCTGATCTTCTGAACATCTACTATTTACCTCTTCTTGTTATCAACTGCTATATAACTTCCGTTTTTCGGGCACCTCGCGATTTCTGGTGAATCCCCATGCATCCGGTTGACACCGTTTGTAGCATGGTTCTGATGGCGATACACTCTCCAGCCTTGATTTGACAATAAGGAGGTTGTCGTTACTAGCGATGCTGAATGTGCTGATTTAGGGATGCTACCCGAGGGCGATTTTAACCCTTAGAACGGTAGGTTGCAGTTTTTATGTCGTCGTACTGCGAAAGCGACAATTGTTGTTGCTGCTATTATTGATGGTCGAATTAGCAGTATTATCGATACCAACACTATTAGTTTAGGATTTCGACTACCTTGCCTGTCATTACCATTAGTACTAGTATTTCTAGTACTACTAACACGTGGCCACTACGAGTATTTTAAGTGCGTTACACGAATACTCGTACTGGTAAAATATGGTTATCACTTCTAGTCTTGCTTTTGCCGCTGCTCTCATCTATCTATCGTACCATTGAATCCCCCACCACTATCGAGTCTATTAACAACTACTACGGATAACCACTTTTTCTCGACATCTCAATGCGTTGTGTTTCTCAAGAAAAGGGAGGACATGTCCCAACACACGACCCAAATTCATCGAGAGTTAATCGGATTACCGTAATAATCAACGTTGGAATATATGGTCGCTTTCCTCGGCTGAATCCAGGGGGTTCGGCATTCACTTGTCATAGGAAATTAAATATGAATTGGATTAGAAATATAGAGAAACCAACGAGAACTCTCCAGAATTTCCATATTGTCACTTGAGCTTCAAGTGTGCTCCGGTCGAAGAAGGAGTACCACCATCAGCTTTCTAGGCGCGGTCATTTTCCGGCGTGAGTGTCATCATTGATCGCCTTAGAGTTGACGTTTAACGCTGAAATTACATCATAGTTGACTTGCAGACCCACGATGGAGCTTTGCTAGAGATGCAGAATAAAACCGAATATAGCTACTCTCGTATTGAGTTGACAGTCCTGGGAATCGAACCCGCGCCTTCTACGTCGAACTCGTTCTCATCGGTGGGATCTTATCGTTCCTAGGGAGCAAATCGTTTCGAATGAGAGCTATATCTTTGCAGGACCCGGGTGCTTCTACTCAAGTGAAAACTGGAATTGTCGTGCTTGCTTTACAGCCATGTCACACCGTTTCACCGTGCGCGCCGGTTATCGAGTATCAGGCTTGGCACTGCTCGACACAAGAACCCGGTTACCAGTTAGTGGTGACTGATGAACGGTAACAGCAGTGAGAACAATAACTTATTAATAGTGGCAGATAAGCACTAATAACAAGAGGGACAGCCCTACTAGGGATTTTACCACAATTGAGATAACTCGCGCAACCACAACACTTCGCTGAATCGACAGATTCTCACAGATAACAATCCCTCCGACTTGCGGGTGTTGGGTTGGAGAACCGGCGCATCATTCAGCTGAGTTTTCAGCCTCATCGACCGATGGCATAGCAGCGCTATCTCTCGCATACATTTCTCAGTACTTCGAGACATTATGTCGCTAAGATAGTCACAGTCGCTGTATAATCTTAGAAGAGACGCATGCACAATGGCCGCAAGAACAACTGTCTTCCGGCGCTGCGGTCTGCAGGTAGCAGAGCTATGCAAGATGCAATTTACTCCTCGCTAGAGAACTAGAATCGGCGTGGTTCCTGGATTTCAAAACAACACGCGAATACAGGGACAAATGGACTCACAAGCAGCATCCGCTCGCTGTCTCATCATGGCGGCTTTCAGATTCAGCAAACTCGGGATCAGGTTCAATGCTAGGATCAACACAATGTGATTATGACGAGATGACGACTACTCGAAGCAGTACTCCGACGTTGGCCTTGCATGTTACTGTCCGGCGTGACCATGAATCTTAGAAGATATGTCCCGTCAGCGCCAGATAACTACTGTAGCTTCTCGTAGCTCCAGCGTGGTCCTTCTTAGTGGCAACTCAGAGTCAGTAGAGGACTTAGAGTTATTCACTAGGAATTGGGTATGAAACAATATCTGATACTGACGAAGGGGCAATTCGTGAGGCTCTCGTGAACAATCTAATGAAGTTCATGGGATTGTTCATGGCATGAACACACGCGAATACATAGCGTTATCGATTGCGTGTCATGCAGGGACCATATAATCAGCTGCACGCGCGAGATAACAGCCTCGGCACTGAAACATTCCTAAAATTCGGGAGCGACACGCTGTACTACAAGTTCTGGCTATACGCTTTAGGTCTGCTTATTCCTCCTCTGAGCTGGAGAGGCTCAGAGTACATAAAGCATGGTATAGGTCTATCTGTGTAGGTAGCAATGCAAGCCATGGTCTATCAGTTATTTTCGAATCTTAAGGAGTGTCATTTTCATAGTATCATGCTCGCACACTCGGCGTTCTTATCGACACTACTCGTTTATGCCGTAACCTTCGGTAGGGCTGTCTCCAACCGCACGCTGGTCACGATATCTTATCGTGGGACCCGACTCGACATCCGTCATGTACCGAGTATGATGGCACAGGTCGTATCTGCTTCTGGTGGAAGAACATACACTCTCACTCAAGATGATCGTAAGTGCGAGCGATGTTTCGCACAAGATGGTATGGTATATGACTTGAAGGCGATAGGGATCCAGATTGTAGAGTCTAAATGCTCAGTTGGTCATAGTCAGATTCTCAACTACTTGAGGAAGGCCGAAGATTTGCTCGGCATTGAATTTGAGTGTGAGCCCGACTCTGGGGTCAGTCTGATCCCGACTCCCCCGTCACATACGGCCCAAAGATCTCCCATAATTACCACCAGTTGTACTGGTGGCAATCCTTTTCTCGGTACCAACGATCCCGCCTCCTCCTGCCAGCGTAACCTCGAGGTTATCCGCCTAGGGGCTGCCTGGGAAGCGGCTCGCTCAGCCGGACGGAAGCTGGAGGATGTCGTGTTGGCCATCATCGATAGTGGTGTTGATATGACTCATCCTGATCTGGTCAATCAATTCTGGAGGAACCCATCTGACAACTCTATCGGCTTCAACTTCATAACGAACACTACTAATGTTACTGATGACTACGGCCACGGTACTCACTGCGCCGGGAATGCAGCCGCTCAGACTAATAATAGCATCGGTATTGCAGGAGTGGCGAATATCGATGGATCGATGACCCATGTGAAGCTGATGATATTGAAGTTCATTGACTCTGAAGGATTTTACCTGGTCAGTGACGCAATGAGGGCTCTCAACTTCGCGATTGAGAATGGGGCTACAGTGTCCTCCCATTCATATGGTGATCGTTCCACAAGCGAGCTCGAAAAAACTGGCTTCAAGAACGCCGCTGCTGCTGGCCATGTTACAGTTGTTTCTGCTGGTAATAACGGGGCTAGAATAGAGAATAATCCACATTATCCTTGCTCCTTTGCGCCAGAAATCCCATCTATGCTCTGTGTCGCTGCCAGTACTTCTAGCCCAACCGAAACCGTCTCTCTGGTTGATTTTTCGAATGCTGGCTCGTTTACAAAGGTGGCCGCTCCCGGTGTTTATATCTATTCGACCATGCCAGGAGGGTCATACGGTTATAAGAGTGGAACATCGATGTCGGCCCCCACTACTGCCGGTGTCGCGGCTTTGCTGGCTACCCTGGGTCTCAAAGGCCAGGATATAACAGACACTATCATAAATTCTAGGACAGCCGGTATACCTAATAAGTTTAACCTATCTGATATCGGAGAACTGGATGTTCTCAAGGCCGTTCAAATGGCTCTTACACAGGTGCTTAGCCGCTCCCTCCAGAATGAGTAGCGCCCTCAAGGGCTACGGACGCTGAAAATCATTTAGTCAATAAATGTCACGTTCCCCTTATCTCTTATCGAGGGGAGAAGCCTCCGTCCCACATCGTATCATCATTTGGATCGCTTTCTCGGCTCATTCTCTTGCTATTGAACTACTTATTGAGTTGTAGTTCCCTTGCTAGATCTCCTGTCGGACCATGCTCCTCGAGTTGAATGTTCGTTGACAACTTAGGTGATCTTGTTTATCACAGGAACGTTTTCAGTGTAGAAAGGAATATGAACTACTTATCCATGATTTGGGTTCAGTGCTTCTCTTGATGGATCATAGGACGACTCACGGCAGGAATGAACCTGCACTGGTATGCGCGACCACTGCACTAGTCGATGTCTAGTGTTGTAGTTACAATTGAAGTCATCTTCAAAGCCGTTGTGGGATAAGCAGATTATTGCTGTCGAACGGCTCAAACCCCTCGGGCACGAGTAGAGCGAGCGATAAAACGAAAGGATGTTGAATGACAATTGTGGGGAAAGTATGATAATCGTCGATCATCGGTCCTGTTCCTCATCACTAGCCACGAAACCTTTGAACACGGCGAATTGCCTCGTATTGGCAAGACGCAGAGAAATGTGCCATGTTTGTTTCTGGTGATTTCCTATTGGGAAGTGTTACCCACAGGTAAGACCTGTGAGTGTGATTTAACTCAAATTGATGGGGTGTTGTTTTGCTTGAATGATGTAAGCAAAAAACAACACCTCATCAATGCCCCACGTGGTCGCACCAAGTTGTGCAGCTGTTGATGATTTGAAACCCATTGAGATAACACTACACTGGATATAATTGCAATGCCTTACAAGGCTGTCGGATTATACTTAGCCGTCGAGGACTATCTTCATCATAATCTCAGCTAAGACATGATTGTGTGTTACGGGGGATTGGGACAGCGACAATGATCATGCAGCAGCATCTTAAACTTGAGTCTCCACTAATACAATGGAATTTATCTCTCTTCGGTGCATGCAACATGCTCTCTGGGGTTTTGGGTGCGCCATGCTCCGATACGTCAAGTTTCATAGTCCATGGTTCTCAAGTGTGTAAGTGCTGCTTCCCTGCACACTCGATGCACAACCCACACAGTCGAGACACCAGTTATCTTGTGAACAGATTAAGTTCGTAATCAGAGTTTCTGATCTATACTGCTTCTTGAGTTCCATCTGGTTGAGCGAAGGTGTGCTGGAAAAACGGCGCGATTTCTGGAATAAAATCTTTCGACTTCATCCGGAGCTTCTCTGCACATACCCTAGTATATTCCTATTCAGATAGTTTCCCAGATAATGGTCAGATAGATTATGGAGACTTCGTAGTTTGAATCAGTGCTTTCTCAATCTCGCCAACTACACCTCTACACTCCTACCATGGGAATAGCATGCTAAGAAATGTTGGATCTCAACTCTAGTTTTTCCTACAGGTCACGAGGACCAATCAGCATAACGTGTATCAACACGTCAAATGGGAAAACGAATGATCAGCTACGCTGTCCTCTCAGCGCCAGGATGATAAGTATGTTCCCTTTCGCGTCTCTACAGTAGTAATAATTTCTCAGTAAGAAGATCACAGCCTGAGTCCACTAGCAGCATGGCAATTGGTTCGAACATCTAGCCTTCGAGTTGTGGCCGGGTGTATGTCATCTGCAGACGGAGACACGCAAGGTACACTCAAGATAACAAACAGCTCGTTAACAAGCCTCAATCTTCTGCCGAATCCACCGAGGCTTGCTACCCAGAGTGCTTCTGGAACCTAGTAGTGTGAGAGAATGATATAGGATTGTGCGCTGTGTCGTGACGACAAGATATCGATAAGTTGAAGCTAAGCTGAGTAGTGATTCCCTATTCCCAATAATTGTATTCATACTTCTTTTTACTCCTTTACTCTCTCCTACAATGAGAAGAGTAGTTGAGGTCTAGTACATTCAGACCTACATTAGACCAACCTACATCGGAGACCTCAGAAAGAGAAAATATATGCTAGAAACATTCCGACACTAGCCGCTGGCTAGTAGCCAGGCAGCTTGAAGAGTTCAGGGTGCCTCTCGTACCGGCAGTGCCGATTGTGCCGATCGCTGTCCCGAACCAGACGTCGCTGAAAGGCAACTCTCTCGTACAGTTCCAACCGCTGAGAAGCTACGCTCTTCGTCCGCAGTAATGCGGAGCAGAATATCGGCATATAAGCGATTGCTCGCATAGAAGCATCGGTGTATTGGTCGCTGCCGCACATGCTGTTTATGGTCTTCCCTAAACATTGCCTAGTAGCCCATAATTCACCATAGTTCTAGAAGGCAACTAACAGTCCTAGTTCTACCCCTCCACGGTACCGTGAAGAGCAGCAGCAGCAGCAGCAGCCAATGACGACCCAATCCCTATTGAAACAACTGCCAACTCCAAAGACCATCCTTGCGGGGGTAATACGACGATGATGATGGTGATGTAAAATAAAAACGTAACGAAATAGGAAACGGATTGAATCAGAGACCGGCTGTAAGCCTTTCGACCTATTAGGAAATGAACGAATGTTTCGCGAACCTTCGCCGAGCTTTTGCAAACCGATGACCGCAAATAGCATAAAAAGCATAACAAAACTCATTCAACTAGATTCGGTTTTATCACCGAATCCCAAACCTGAGAATACAAATGTAATTATACGGACAAAATTTTTTTCCTCAACCTACCAGGAGGAGGGCCCGCCGATTCCGCAACACCCTCGTCGGCTTCGTCCTTCACCACAACCTCCTCAAAATCCACGGTGTTTCTACTACTCTGAGGAAACACAGAACTACGATACAAAAAAGACCCTAGTGGTATGAATAACATATTTCAGCACTACTACTGCATATCACCGAGTTTTACGACGCCACTTCACGTAAAATGGATAAAACTCCCATGATTAGTAACATCATCATAGCCATCTCAAAATCCATGCGTACATAGAATATAATAATATACCTCGTAGTTCACTTCCGATTCCTGCTGGTCTCCGCTACTCTTCGTAGGGTCTTCCGGAGGGGGCGGTGACGAGGGTGGCGTAGCAGCAGCAGCAGCAGCAACCGCCCCATCATCACCACTCCCATCGCGAAAGAGGGAGGAAGGCGGCTCGGGCTTTGCCGAGCTTAATCTTTCCGCCCACGACGTTCCAGACAAATCTACCATCGAAAAATGCAATCCTGTCACGCTTCGCTCCGCTAAAAATAATTACGATCTTTCAGCCAAGCGCTGGTCACCGCTTCCGCACTGATCGAATCACTCATATCTTTGCTCTGTGACTCAGCAGCGCGAGGCCCCTCGGATGAGCTTCGAGCCGCGCTCACCCCTGGACCTAATCGCAGTTTGGAGGGGGAATATGCACATGGTCAACTACATGTGTTAGTGACAATACGAAAATTCTGTCTACTGATTTTCGCATACTTCTACCAGAATTTTCACGAGGAAAGTGAACAGTTATCCCTCCAACACTGTGAAGGCGAGCAAATGATAAAATAAAAAATATATGACTAATGCACACAGAAAATACTACCAGACTATGAGTAAATGATTATCGCTAGTAGCTCGCATCCCTTGTGCATGCGTGCAACGACGAAGCACTCACCCGTCAACTGTCGGCCTGTCCCCGTCTGTTGCTGCTGCTGTTGCCCTTTCTGTAGCAGTAGTTGTTGTTGCTGCGATATCGTCAATAACGGTGCATTTTGCTGAGCCTGATAGATTCCCTTTTACAAAATCACCCCCATAGTAGTGAACCCACCCGCGTTTCCTTTGCCATAGCAGCTAGAATAGCAGCAGTAGTAGTAGGCTGAGTCGACGAGCTATTATTATTACCGCCACCGACAGCAGCGCCTTCTCCTGCATGCCTATATGCGCACCGCGAACCATATGCGCACCTGTTAGATCCTCCGAGTAGTCCTATAAATCATAAAAGGGCTTACTTTCCAACAGCGTTAAACTTGCAAGAGATAGTCTTCGCCTTGGCACCCATGCTAAGACCTTCCTGCTGATGCGCTATCTGTGAGGCGATCAGATCATGCTGGGGGCCAGATGTCGACGATGACGGTGTTGAAACCTGACATAATACTCTAATCTTCCCAAGGGAGGGAGGGCACATTCTTCAATCAGTTTCCCATGTAAATGCCATCACATCACGAACTCAATTTTCCCCTTGAAAAATTGCATGGTCGTTTAATATTTCATCTATTAACGATCTCTACCATTCTCCCCTTCTGAAACTGCCCTCGGACAGGGCAAGGCAAAATTGGTTGATTAAATTTTGAACAAAAATTTTTCTTATTAAAAAAAGCCTAAATGACCACATTCTTACGACACCATCCACATTACCGTTGCAGTCCCCGCCTGGAAACCCAACTGCATGCCAGCACCAGCACCAGCAGCAGTAGTAGTAGCTTGGTTTTGCTTAGCAGCGCCAGAGTTAGCAATAGCTTGCATCAACTCAGCACTAGTGGTGATTTGCCCAGACAGTACCTAAGAATAAATCTTGCTAATCTTGCATTTCCTCAACGCTCACCTGAGCCGCGTATTGCTGTTGTAACTGGGCTATCATAGCCGACGGAAGCTGTCGGAGAGGCTCCCTATTGCTGATCATATGCATGTACCTTCACAGACAAGCAAATCAGTTAAAAATATGTTGGTGTATATTCGTGGAGGAATCTTTAGTAATCCGCGACTTCGGTCAACCTTTGGTGATACCAATTACTCCTTACATTTTAGGAGTAATTGCAACCCTGAATGACAATATGAAAATTTTAAGAGGAAATTTCCGTAAATTCGTATTTTTTCTGTATTACACTTCTACCCAAATTGCGAGAAAACTCCCGAGCACCACGAAATTCCTTACTGGCAATTGTCACCAAAACTACACCACCCAAAGGTGGAGATAAAGGGACAGAGGCCAGCAGATGCCACGACGTTTGATGGACCTTGCTGCGATAGACCTGTGATAATAAAAATGATGAGACTATGTGTGAGGGGGGATATGCACATGGTCAACTACATAGCAGAGTTGTCGCTAAACGTAGAAGATATCACGCCTCGAAACGTGAGAATTATGGTAACTAAGCCCCCTTTAGTTTTAGACTACAACGGCAGCAGACGCAGAAAAGACGACATTGTCTCTTCAATGGCGAATAGTTTACAATTTCTTGTTAAATGTGTTGGTGACATTGTCACCGTGACAATATTAAAATTGGAAAATTTTTCGCAGCTTCGTGTTAGTTTCTGTGCACTGGAGTTTCTTGACCCTAGTGATATGATGAAAAACGATAGTGAAAAGTATATTCCACGACTACTGCAGGCCTCGAATATTGGGACTTTCACAGAGTATTACGCCACCTCGCGCAACACAGGTGAAACTCCACTCCTATGCTAATCCGTATATAAACTCCTGAGCTCAGCAGCTGAGGAAAGCGATTACATATATTCATACTCCAACACTGTATAGGAAACTCCTGAGCTCAGCAGCTGAGGAAAGCGATTACATATATTCCTACTCCAACACTGTATAGGAAACTCCGAATATGAGGATATGAAATATGAAAATTTTGATGAAATTTTGAGAGATTCTCAGCAGCTACCCGAATTCATATGTAAACTCCCGAGCTCAGGTGTGTAAACCCAACATATAATCCTCCAGCACTACACTACGATCACCACCGTATAAAGAGAACTTTCCCCATCACGCTGTAAACCATATTGCTACTCATAAAATTGAGAATATAACTAGAACCATGCCATCCGGCAAGTTGCTACTACAATGCATTGGAGTTTCACGATTACCCGTTTTACGTGAAGTGGTGGCGAAAAACTCGGTGAAAAACTCGCGATATTCAACGCGGTGATATGCAGTAGTATTCGTGAAATATGTTTTTCATATCACTAGGGTCCAGAAACTCCCTTATTAGTAATTATTGAATATTAGATTCATACCATAACCCCAACATTACTATTCAAGGCTCGTTGTTGACGCTGTTGCTGCTGTTGCTGCTGCTGCTGCTGAGCCTGGGTATTCAACGATCTCAGAGAAGTTTGCTAATAACAACAGCATATCACAAATCCCCGTCTTGTAAATTCACCTGTCCTGTCGAGGGCGCCATCCCATATGTCGTCTTCTGTTGTTGTTGTTGTTGTTGTTGTTGTTGTTGTTGTTGTTGTTGCTGTTGTTGTTGTAGTAGCTGTTGGAGTTGTTGCTGTTGTTGCTGCGGCAGGTGCGCCAGCAACTGGGCGATAGCAGGTTGGGACGATACGTTAACACCTGAAAAAGAAAGTATTCTTCGATATAGTAATAGTGAAAATAATTTATATTTATATATCATACCATATTTCTCAGAACGTCCCATTTCTGAGAGGGTATTACTCCATAGAAATATTTTCAATGCGAGTGGACACGTGTTGCCAGTACGAATATTTCGCACTTTTTTAGGAGTCTTTTTGATGAGCACATAAATGTATTTAAAAATCTCGTCGTTTGCCAACTCTGCCGCGACTGTTTGATAATGATGATAATCAGAACATTGTCAACAAGATCAACTCTTCAGCATTCCGACACTTGCAGAGCAAAAGTCACATACTACATTAGAGTTTCTTGACCCTAGTGATATGAAAAAACACTAGTGAAAAATATATGTCACGACTACTGCTGCATATCACCGAGTTTTACGACGCCACTTCACGTAAAACGGGTGATCGTGAAACTCCGTTATATTTTTGTCATTCGTCATTATCAGGAGTGATATAAATTTTATATAATATTATCAAACTCATTATTTTTATTTTATAAAAACATCAGTACGATTTAGTATATTGGGATTTCACCGCCCTAGTAATAAAGAAAATATATTTCACAACTACTACTGCATGTCATCGCGTTGAATATCGCGAGTTTTACGACGCTACTTCGCGTAAAACTCCATTTATATAGACTCCCCTACCTTGCCGTTTGATCAGCTCTGCAATCCTTTTTGTCAATGCCGCCTGTTGCGCCGCATTACCCTAAAATGAAAAAACCGAACATTCACACCACGTCCTAGTTCATAGATATAAGTCCCCAACAGCTACTACTGCAATAACGAACTCATTTCGGATGTGTCGAATCAGGCAGTATTCCCGAGTAGGACCTACCGATGCAGCTTTAGGAGCGGCTGAATTAATGTTCATAGCGGTTGATGATGAGGAGGACGTAGCTGCTGCTGCCGCGCCTGCTCCGGCCGTCGAACCTTGTGGTCGATTGAAGCCTGGTAAGGTAGTGCTCATCTGAGGATAAGAAAATTTCCGGAAAAACACGAGGCTAGGAATCGAACATGGACCCTTACGATGGACAACCTCACACTCTACCATTGCACCATATAGTCTGATTCCACCTTACCCCTTGCGGCTGTGTTTGTTGTTGTTGTTGCTGTTGTTGACGAGGGAAACTGCTAGTTGACACCGACGTGCCACCAGCGTTACTCCCACGAGAATTATCATTCAAAATCTTGCTAGGCTCCAAGGATGGCAAAGACCCCTCGTCATTAGGAAGCTGATGAATTCCACAAAACGCTGGTGGTTCAAGTCTGAACTACACCACGTACTATCTCGGTGAGTAGACCTTCTCCTCCTTCCGTCAAGCTACAGAGCTCCCTCACGACACGATTCAGAGCGAGCATCTGAGTATTACAAACACTCGTCGAGCACGTATGGCTAGGAACACATCCTTCAATCAGTTTCCCATGTAAATGTCATCATCACATTAGTAACATCAATTTCCCCATTGTTATCAAATCCTGGGGAGACGTTATTTTTCAAAGCTGGATGAGTCACCACAGTTTGGCTTTAGCCAACGTTACAGTTACGATGACAATCAATGATGATGATTCGCTCTTGCCCAGTGTTGGAATAAGTGTTCGTGTTCCTCAGCCGAGTCCAGAAGTTTCCTCACTAATTATAAAAATATACATGAAAATTCAAATGGAAGCGTAAAGAAACCAATGGGAATTTCCTCAAAATTTCCACAAATGTCACCTACACATGTAGTTGACTACGTGCATATTTTCCCTAAGGGCTCTTGCCTTATATGAACGGAAACCTTACTTTATTATCATTGGGGAAACCCGATTGATAATAAAGTAATAAAATATATCCTTCATTTCAAGAGGTCTATGACACTATCATCATCAGCACCCTCACCTGCGCATGCCCTTCCTTGAGCCGACGATCCACTTGGTGGATTACCATAGTTAGGTCGTTGCGCATTAGTTGCGACATTCTATAACAAGAAGCATACCAAGTGTGGTGGTGTGAGGGACATTCACATACCTTTGCTGCATCTCAGTCCTTTCCCTTTGTAGAGTGATTATCACAGATTGCTTCAACTGACCCACCTGTTCTGAAGTTTGACCACACCTGTAAAGATAAATGCCCCCACTGGGAATCGTACCCGAGACCTCCCCCTCACCTTATGTTCAAATGTTGTCTTAGGAGATTAATTTGTCGTTTAAGATCATCAACCGAATCAGAGGAAGTTTGCTTCTCAGCTAGGTCCGTCAAAGCCCTAGTGATTTCCCCCAGGCGGGTGTTATAGGCGAGTAGGATCTACACCGAACCATCGCTTGTGGCTACCGAGAGGTCCCTGGTTCGATCCCATCACCTCTTCATTTCTAGTCTTCGCTGTAGTTATTTGTCTGACCACCTCCTGCATCTCGTTCATCATCTTCACGTTGTGCCTCTTTATTAGCGCCTGAAGAGCGTACCACGCCATCTACTGATACTCATAATGAGAGCCTTTAATATACCACAAATTTCCCTCCGACGACTCACTACCTGTTCCATCTGGTTCATCCTCTTCTCCACATTATCCATGACCAAAGGCCACACCTGAGGACCCCGAAATTCGACCATTGAGGTAACATCACGTCGTTTACGGTTTCTAGCATCGCTTGGTGTTCAGCGTTGGGCGCTTTCGGACACGACATTCTCGACTCGCCTCCCTCGGTCGTACTAGCACTCCCAAGGGAACGCGAGCCTGTGGGTAGGGTCTAAGAGGGAAGGTGGACAAGCATGAGCGAACGCAGCGCCTCCTACATCGGCCTCACCAATACTGGCTGGGGACTGGCCAGAAGTTGTCACTAAAAAGAGAATCTTCCGTGTGCGCAAGATTCACCAAAGACTACTACAACTGAAGTGACGCAAGAGTTCTTCCTCATCATCAAGCCTTCTATGATCAGAGGAGTCCATGTGGAGGCCGAGACAAAAAGGGGACTAAAGTATGTTGTGGAAGGTCACGTGAATGGGGGAGCGTGACGCCGTCACGCCAGAGCCACAGGGTTCGAATCAGGCGGTGTATGTTTTTCGACCTTTTGGGAATGCTATTCAAAAAAAGGCGGATGTATCTTAATACTCGGGTCGATCTCGTCCCCCTATTAGTGTCAGCTACAGAGGCGCTGAAGCAATGGTCACTGATCACCTTCGAATGGAACGGCAGTGTGCGCGCACGCCCAGCTCCACCATCATCAGATGATTATTACTTGTTATTATTGAATCAGCGAGAAACTCATTCCTTCACTCATTTGTATGAACGATAACTCGAATTGCACGACGCCGGATGAGCACCCGCTTAGCCGAACGACCCATGCGTTCCCCTGGGCGAGCGCGCTCCACTTCCTCACAAAATACGCAGGTGTGACCGGCCCTCCGTAGGGCATGGGATATCTTACGGGGGATGAATCCACGGTTTGTGGATTGTGAACATTCATCATCAGAAGCCTCTCTACCACGTGGTGATCTCGTGAGCCTCCCGATAGAAGTCCCAAATAATGTCTCCGACCGCACATATCGTATGTGAATTGATCATTAATGACTCATTAGAGCCGCTCAACACTAAGACCATTTATTACAAGCGACCAATACTTCAGGAGTCCTGTCAAGCTTTGTCACTAAATTTGGACTACTCTGTCACTATTTACGGCAACAGGTCGATTTTGGTTATCATCGGCCGTAGTACGGTTCTCAGCTCTGCACGCACGCGCACAGTTATTGTGTGCCATAATGGGGGAGAGGGATGGGGCACCTATGCCACCCCCAAGATGCAGAGAGAGCCGTACTCGGCATCACCTCGAGATGCCTTATTAGGAATAGGCTATTAGGGATTGGGGCACCTATGCCACCCCCAAGATGTACAGGGAGCCGTACTCGGCATCACCTTGAGATGCCTTATTAGGAATAGGCTATTAGGGATGGGGCAGCTATGCCAGCCCCCAAGATGTACAGGGAGCCGTACTCGGAATCACCTCGAGATGCCTTATTAGGAATAGGTTATTAGGGATGGGGCACCTATGCCACCCCCAAGATGTACAAAGAGCCGTACTCGGAATTACCTCGAGATGCCTTATTAGGAATAGGCTATTAGGGATGGGGCACCTATGCCACCCCCAAGATGTACAGGGAGCCGTACTCGGAATCACCTCGAGATGTCTTATTAGGAATAGGCTAATAGGGATGGGGCACCTATGCCATCCCCAAGATGTACAAAGAGCCGTACTCGGAATTACCTCGAGATGCCTTATTAGTAATAGGCTATTAGGGATGGGGCACCTATGCCACCCCCAAGATGTACAAAGAGCCGTACTCGGAATCACCTCGAGATGCCTTATTAGGAATAGGCTATTAGGGATGGGGCAGCTATGCCAGAGGTATATGCCACTCAAGATACGCCTCAGCCTCCACGAGCATAACTGACTTTCTGATCTTCGGAACGAGTAGAACTCCGCAGGTTTGCATATCAGCAGTTTCATCAGTGCACTTGCTCGTGTCTTGTTATCAATTTCCATTCTTATGAATGAGATGGTAACAGTCTCGAATGGGGTGGATTTGCATCGAAAATGCGGGCAAAAAGAATTCCATCGTAGTGCTCGAGAGACCAACGGAATACGAGGACTTTTCTGGTCGGCCAAAAGAAAAATTCTCCAGAGAAGGCAGTTTTGAATTTTTTACATCCACATGAGCGCTGACGGCGATAACGATACTGGTAAACGGAGGAAACTCACATGTGGAGGATCTTTCTTGCGAGTATATCATCACTCGTTAAGTATTTCACCCTCAAGAGTGCTTTTAGTTGCCATTGGAGGTCTTATCGGCTGATTTTCGAAGAGACCGCAAAGATATCGAGCGGGAACTGCTGTTGATTCATAACTTCATTGCTAGCGGCAAGGTGAGTATCACTTCGATTGAATATTTTTTCACTACTATTTCACTACCACACTAGAATTCTCTCGTCGATGGACTTTCGTAATCTGTCGAGACTGACACGATTATTCGCAGACTTTCAGTGACACCAAAATTGGTAGAATCACCCGAAATTCTTCGAATTATTTTTTCCTTGTGGGAAGCGATTCTGACTTTCATAACGCTCGATTGTCAACATTGGAATTTCCCGTTTCGTGTCGAAGAGAATTCATACCTTTTTTCAATGGTAAATCCGTCTTCTACGTTAGGTTGGTTCGGCTGGAAACTCGGCAGAAACTGTCGAGAAATTGCTGAAGAAATTAGATATCGTTGAGAAACGACTGTACGAGAAGAAACGTGAACAAGTAAGTTTCTCAAGGTTTTCACACGATGGAATTGATCTTTCGACTTCCTCTAGAGTTCCGAATTCGGCAGAAAAATTTTGAATTTTTATTTCCCACTCGCCGCGGTGAAAGTAGGAAAAGTTCTTCTTGATGGACTCTTCATGTTGAGAATTAGTAATAATGGGGTCATTGAATATGCAGAAAAAATTGGTAATTTGAGTCATAACAGCCATGATGGTAATTTTCAGGCGAAATTAGTTGACAATATCAAGCATCGCGTAACGGCAATAGACGACTTAGCATCAGCAGACGAGGTTGCTGATGAGGAACTCGCCGAGTGGGAAGGCAGCGATACCTTCCTGTTGGTGGAATGGCTCGCTCGGAACGGATTTGCACACACCTTGAGACGAGTTGTGGAAAACTCGAAGACGGGTGAGCATCGGAAAATTATTTGATAATTTTAGGAGCGTTCTTGTGGGGAAGAAAAAAAGAAAACTGTTGAGAATTTCTTCGCAGTGTTGGAGTACATTTTTGGTTTTCTCATCGAATTCCGAAGTGTCATACATAAATCGGGAGAGAAATATTCGAAATTTTTTCAAAATTTTCTCATTGTCACCAATACGCTCATTACTGCTGCAATTTCTGCCCGTTCTATGAGAACATCGTGAGAAAAAAATTCGCATCGAGGGAATTTTTACCTCGGGGAAAAACGGTACTCGTCGCATTATGGGCGAGACTTGTAGAATTCTCATCAGAAGAACTTGCATCGTGCTAGCTACAATCCACAATGAAATGAGGTTTCGGAAGTTTTGGTATATTAATTTTCACACTCTAAATTTTTCCGAGTTTTCGGGCGCGTAACGCTTGAATGCTGAAAAATTGCGGGAAAATATTATTTTCAAAATGAAAATGAAAAAATTGCTTGTGAAAATTGCTTGATTTTATTGGTAAATGTATGATAGAAAATGCTCAAATTTTCGTTTTTTTTCCGGAAATTTTATATGTTTTCTGGAAAAATATACAAATTCAGTCATCGTGGTTCCTTGGTCGGGTTTGTAGATGATTTTACCAAGCAATTTTCGCAATTTTTCCCGGGAATTTCACATATTTCCTGGAAAAGTAGGGAAATTTAGACACAATGACTCTTCGGTAGGTTCTATGGATCATTTCCCAGCTCTTGAAAGTGGCGATTTCGAACCTGATATTGTCATTGATGAGAAAATAAGGAGCATTAAGGAAGCCCTGAAAAACGGCAATGTTACTCCGGCTATTGAGTGGTATAAGGCATGCAGAAACAGAATAGATAAGATGCAAAAGCTGCCCTCAAAAGAAGATTCAGAAGAGGTCCGTTGATGGACATGTCGAGTACTTCTGAGTTTGAACATATATTGGAGTTTCTTGACCCTAGTGATATGAAAAACACTAGTGAAAATTATATTTCACGACTATTGCATATCACCGCGAATATCGCGTTTTTCACCGAGTTTTACGTCACTTCACGCGTCATGAAACTCCAATTTTTCCGGGAGCACTCAATCGTTTTGAATTTCTCATATGGTCAGGAACACAATTTCCCATGTAAATGTCATCACATTAGCAACATCATTTTCCCCATTGTTATCAAATCCTGGGGAGAGGCTATCTTTTAAAGCTGCTTTTGATTAGAGTGTATTTAGGTCGATAAACAAGAATCATTCCAGATGGGGTTGTTACCCATTTTGCATTTTTATGAAATGACGCGAATTTTGGAAGATTCTGATCCGCGACGATTTGAACTAGCTGTTGAATACCTCGAGAAGATCGTAAAAGATGGCGATATAGTTGGTAATAAAATCGGAAATTTTTCGGGAAAAAATTGAAATAATAGATATCAAAATATTATGTAATCGGCAAAGTATGAAAATTTTTCAGATTTTTGTTTTAATTTTTTCTTCTCACGGAGTCGTTCAGTGATCGTGCAGAAACCAGTTATAGCAGGTTGGGAATATATATTTGCTTTCGGCAACTCAGTTCGTGAGTTTCCTCGTTACACTAATGGTGAAAATTTTACAATTTTACGAAAATTTATGAAAATTCACGGAAAAATTGTACAAAACAGGGTGGCTGAAAATGGAAAGAATGAATCTTTCCACTCTTTCCACGAAGCAAGCTTTCCGTCGGAAAGCTTGCTAGAGGAAAAAATGGAAAAATATGGAAAGAATGGAAAAAACACGTGTTTTTAAGGCTTTTCGGGCTTTTTTCAGCCATTTCACGTTGTCTCGGACGATAGGTTTTGATCCATGGTTATTGGCCTAAAATAATAGGAATACTCCCGGTCAAGAACCCGAGATGTGATCGATCGAGCCGGCGACCGCAAGAATCGATCACTTGGGCGCGCGCAGAATTCCGACAATAATAGCAGGACTATAGGGCACTGCTGAACCTTTTTAAGACGCAACACACCAGGAGATACGGATGATGAGGTGTAGTTGAGTAGAGCAGAGGTTTCGCTGATGTAATCTTCAACCAGGAAGCAGAGGATGAAGAATCAATACGATCAGAGACAAGCCACAGAGATATGCCCAGAGCAAAGGGCAGATCAGAGCAGGTAGAGATAGAAAAGATAGAGGGAAAAGAGAACTGAAGGGGAGAATATAGCATCCATCAACGGGCAGACATGATACTCAGGTCGGATAGTTGCTTAAAGTAGTGTCAGTAGAATGAATCCAAAACCGTCGAATTCATGCAATCTGCACGAAGGCAAGCGCTAGTTGAGTTACGCTACTATTCCATTTTGTAAAAAGCGCGCGCCCAACTAATCGATTTTATTCAACCTTACAAAGTCTTGTAAATCTTGCATCTCCTCCACGCCACTATGCGAAGGCTACGGCAAAGAGGCAACATTGAACTTTCTTTCTCTTTGGTTAAGAATTCAAATATTGCATCGTTTTAGTGTTAAACTGCATTATTAACATTCCCAGTATGTCAACAGCCTCACGTCGAAGTAAGCTCTCGTGTACGCGTATTGGAAGCGGAATATATATATTCGCCTTCCTCCTCAGCTGAGTCCTAGAAGTGTACAAAAACCAACAGAAAAAACTCCAGAAATTCCTCGAAAATTTTCATTATATAGGGTATATATAAGGTTCACTATATATAGTAATTTACTATCAGTAAATCACTGGAGTTTCACCCGTTAACGTGAAGTGGCGGCGTAAAACTCGTCGTGAAAAACGCGATATTCGCGGTGATATGCAGTAGTCGTGAAATATGTTTTTCATATCACTAGGGTGGTGAAACTCCACTATATATATTTTCACATCATCCTTTCTCTTCCATTTTCAGCTGCGGAGGTGCTATTGATGATCGCACTGATAGTCTTCACCTGCGGCGCCTGGTCTAACAACGGACCGGTGCTTCAGTGGCTGACAGTCCTCATCTTTTTCTTCTCAGTTTACATCACCGGTAAGTTTTTCGGAAAAAAAATTTTCCTGTAAAAAATTTTTCCTCCTCAGATTTGGTATTTTTCCCCGTTGATAAGAACTTCATCCACGACCCTTTTTATTCCACATATTCGAAGCTCACAGATCCTCACTACGAGACCAACCCCTATAACTAAGTAGTGAGAATCTTCCCTGTGCGTAAACTGGTATCTTTTCATCTTCTAGAATCTTCGCTGTGCGTAAACTGGTATCTTTTCATCCTTTAGAATCTTCGCTGTGCGTAAAAACGTATCTTCTCCAAAATCTTTGCTGTGCGTAAAGTGGTATCTTTTCATCCTTTAGAATCTTCGCTGTGCGTAAAGTGGTATCTTTCCTTACTCCTCTTAGGATCGTTCTCTCACATCAACCATAGAAGACGATGGAAGAGGAGGAGGCGGCTGTTTACTTGCGTGCGATTTTTTCGCGTAGTCGTGTACATTTCCGAGAGCGCCGATGTTGCGTTTTTATCACGTGAAGTGGCGTCGTGAAACTCGTCGTGAAAAACGCGATATTCGCGGTGATATGCAGTAGTCGTCAGGTGGTGAACCTGCAATGTCCCCTCGTCCTCTCCTTAGCCGCTACGAAGGCCGTCTTTGCGTAGTAACCGCCTCCACTGCTGGAATTGGGAAGGCTATCGCTTCCAGAATGTTGCAAGAAGGAGGCAGAGTTATCGTAAGCTCACCAACATGTGTTGGTGCCTGTATGAAATTCTGAGGAAATTTTGGGAAATTCTCCAGTGCAAAGCTCAGCTGAGGAAAGCGATTACATATCACAAAACTGGTTTTAGAGGAGGAATATATGTTTACTTTTTCCACCTCAGTTTAGGAATTTGGGTAGAAGTGCACAGACATTTTGTGAAATATTTATATATGTTTGCTTTCCTCAGCTGAGCTCAGAAGAGTTTATATACAAATTATAGGGTAGAAGTGTACAGAAACCAACAATAATTTCTCCATAATTTTCCCATCGTTGAAAACCATTTTTCCACAAAAATGCAATGTAGATATCCTCAAGAAAACAAGCCTCAGTGGACGCAGCTCTCGCCGAGTTGAAGCCGGAGTTTGGAGAGCGCGTGAAAGGTACGGTACACTACGTGTGAATTTGATCGATGCAAATGTGTGTTATTTTGTCGGATAAATTATAGTGAACAAGTTGTCGCTATCATCACACTCCCAAACGGGTACTCTCATCACAACACATAGTTATTGTTACATGGGAGTTTCACCACCCTAGTGATATGAAAAACATATTTCACGACTACTGCATATCACCGCGAATATCGCGTTTTTCACGACGAGTTTTAAGACGCCACTTCACGTAAAACGGGTAGTCGTGAAAC